AGCGGGGCTCTTTCTCCAGCACCGGGGCCCCTCCGCATCACCTGTCCGTCCTCCCTGGTGGCCAGAGGCCATTGAGAGTTCAGCATCTAGTTTTACTCCGAGACTTGTCACGCACTGTTTGGGGCTGAAAGTTAAAAGGTCACAGAGTGACTTATTTTATAGAAAGGAGAATAAAAAAGTTTAGAACAAGTAAAACACATCTGAACACTTTCTGAGTGTGAACAGGGTGATTTGAGAAAGAGCAGTACGAGATCTGAGCATTAAACCACAATAATGGATAAAATACATCAAAACCTTCTTAGCTGCAGGGAAAATCCACTGCTAGAAAGGAAAATGGCTTAAATATATATATTTTACATTAATACAGATGAACTCATGAACAAGACTTGAGCATGGTTACATGATGAGGTTAATCTAACTACCCCCAGCCAGGACTGCTGGGTCGTTAACCAACAACCGATCTAGGTTGGTGTTAATTCTCTGCGTGTGGGACGTGATCTTCTTAGTAACTTTTAAAAATGGCAGCTGGACTTGTGTTTATTGAAGATGTTTGACTCTCATCCAACAGGCTTCTTGTTCAAGATGAGAGAAGAGACATGTTCAGTAAATCAGAGGAGTCTACTTACCTTTTTATTATGTTTTAATCACTTTACAAAAACACAATCCAGAAACTTCAAGAAGCCAAATACTCTGAACAGATTTGTTTATTCTACTGCTTGGAGCTGCACAGGTGACCTTCTCGTCCATGAGGATTGTCTAGTGTCCACCAGTCAGTTCTGCAACATGGAGACTGTTTCTTCATGGCTTTCTATAAAATAAGTCTTTGAATCACTCTTAGTCTGACCCCTCACCTGAGGAAATTCTGCCACGGGAGACCCCACCTGGAGCCAACACCCTGACTAAACATCCTTCAGGATCCTGGGGGTACGCAAACCCACCCACCACGTTAAGGTGGTGATTCAGCGGATGGGATAAATTTAATTTTTGGTTGTTTTAAATAGGGGCTAACCCCCTTTGCAGCCAATTATTACCAAATAAACTCCTACACTATTATTCACTCTTGAGCTTTTCATGTTAAAGCTGGCCAATTGCTTAAAACTTGTTAGATAGGATTTGCAAATATATGATTTACATCTTGCCCTTACTAGAATGAGTCAAATAAAATGTACTGATAACACACTACTACTTAGGTATATCTGTAAGTATATAAAGTATGTATATCTAAGTATAGAAGTGCCTCTTCACTCTCTGGTTTTAAGTCAATTTTGAAAACCAATTTTTATGATTTGGCTTTTAACTCAGCATGAGAGTCTTTTAGTCTTTTTAGTGTTAGTTCTTAAGCTTTCAATCAATCAATCAATCAATCAATCAATCAATCAATCAATCAATCAATCAATCAATCAATCAATCAATCAAAGCTTTATTTATAAAGCGCCTTCCGCAACCCTGTCAGGAAGCCCAAGGCGCTGAACATGATACAGCACAAAGTTAAATATAGTGAATAAATCGGAAAATAAAAGCTATTCAAATTACAAAAAAGGTGAAACATTCTAGTAGAAGACAAATGTGTAAAACAAGGGATACAGTGAACCAATGAAAACTGTGAGATAAAATCAACATAAAAGAGGGCCAGATTCAAACATGTTCAGGAAACGCCAAGCAGAGGAGGTGGGTTTTTAGGCGACTCTTGAAGACTGGCAGAGATGCTTTAGTTTTTATGTATTTTTATGTTGTGTTTTGTTTTTTAATGTTTTAATTTCTGTGAAGCACTTTGGTCGGTTTGATGCTGTTGTAAGGTGCTATACAAATAAAGCTGCCTTGCCTACTTGAAGCACACTCTAAATACTTTTTGATAAGAGACTGTTGATCTGATTGTTCCAGATTGAGTCAGACTCTGGAGATTTATCATTTTTCTATTGTGGCCAGTCACACCAGTCACTCACTCACTCACCCAGACATTTTAGAGTCACTAATTAACCTAAACACGTGTTTGTGGGGGAACCGGAGCGCCCGGAGAAAACCCACACGTGCATGAGAGAGAACGTGCTCTGTCACACAGAGGGGTCACAGCTGGCATGTAAACCAGCAACCTCTGCAAGACGAAAGCACGACCATCTTCTCTAACATACAGCCCCGTTTTTTATAAAGGTGTGTGAATATTGGGCGGTGGTTTGTGAAGGTGTGTGTGTGAGGGTGGTGTGTGTGAGGGCAGGTAATTAGTTTATAACTTGTTCTTGTGTTTCCGCAGACACGCTGGAGTCATAAACTTTTTGAAGCGTCTCCACTTAGAAATGTTTTGCTGCGGTTTGACTGTTTGTGGAACGGCTTCTTCAGATGGAGACTCGTTACTGTGGAGACTTTGGCTTAACTCCAGCGTTTCCTGAACGATTTCAGTCTGACAAACGTCCGTCTGACAATCCTTGTCAGGATTTGTCTCCAGACTTTCCACAGACGGCTGTGGTTCTGGTGAATAAATCTCAGAACCGGGTTGGATCTCAGACCTGAGATGTTCTTTAAGCTGCAGTTTTAGGGTAACTAATTCCTCTTCATGCTGCTCTTTGAGTTTCTGCAGCTGTTGAACAAACTGCTGGTCTGACTCGACTTTCTCAGAGACGTGTGTGATCATCACATCTCTGAGTTCAGAGTTTCTCTCCTTCAAATCCTGGATCTCCTGCTGGAGATCTGAATTCTCAGAGACAAGAACTCTGGTATTGTCCAGTTCAGCCTGACAGCTCACCCTCAGCTGCTGCTCTTTGTCTAAACTTGATTTAAGTGTTTGACAAAGAGCAGATTTCTCTTCTAACTGCTGATTAAACACTTCCAGCTGCTGAGACATCTTCTCCTTCACCTCGATTGTTGTGGAGTTAAGACTCTCCAGAGCTTGCACAAGGCTCTTCTTTAGCTCTCCAACTTCCTCTTTTAAATTCTCAGTAATTGTGTCTTTGCTCTGACTGTTTTGCTGCTCTTGAGCTAACTGGACTCTCAGCTGTTTTAAAGTCTTCTGCAGATCTTCACACGCAGTTTCTTTGTTCTGAAGCTCGATCTGTAAACTCTTCATTCTTTTTTCACGGGTTTCTGTATTATTTTGATAGTAATCCAGTCCCTGCTCTAACTCCCAGATTTCGTTCTTTAATTTCTGATGACTTAAATCTTTTTTCTGGTTCTTCTTCTCCTGTTGTAACTGGACTCTCAGCTGCTTTTCCTTAATAAAAGACGATTCCAGTTGATGACAGAGAGAAGATTTCTCTTCCAACTGGTGTTTCAAGGTTTCCAGCTGTGCAGACATCTTCTCATCTGCCTCCTTTTTCATGGAGGAAAAATTCTCCAGCTTGTTTAAAAGATTTTCTTTCTCCTTGTGTAATTCTGCAATTTCCTTCTGTAACTTATTATTGATTATATGTTCCTTGTCACTCTTCTGTTTTTCTTGAGCTAAGTTGTGTCTCAGCAGTGACTCCTGCTTTGAACGCTTTTGCAGAATCTCACAGCGATTTTCTTTGCTCTGAAGCTGGTTTTGTAAAGTCTGCACCGTTTTTTCATGAGTCTCTACCTTATGCTGGTAGTAATCTAATCCCTGCTTTAAATCGGTAATTTCTCTCTTGTAAAACACACAGTCAGATTCAGCTTTGGCTCGTCTCACTTTCTCCTTTTTTAGAGAATTTGTGGAAGCTTTCAAGATTTTCTTGAGTCCCTCCACTTGCTTCAAAAGACGGTCCATGTTTCTTTGATTTTCACAGACAGACGATTCCTGCTGGACTTTCTCAGGTAGAGAAACCTTTTGTGGTGGCTTTACACAATCTTCAGAGTCTGAATCAGTGTCAACGTTGACTATTGCGTTATAATCCACACTCACCTCTTGTTCACAT